CAGTTTTTGTCCCACTCCCTCTTCCCCCATCCCATGGCAGAATATGGACAGTTTTCTACATCAACACATTTAGATCTGTCTTTTTTTTTGTAATAGTTGAATGGTACTTCATTGCATGGGTAATAGAATTTAACCATTTCTCTCTTGATGGATGTGTAGGTTTTTTGTTTTTTTTTTTTACCATTTTGTTTGGGAGGGTACTCTGGAATCCTTTTTTGTGTATGCTAGCATCTCTGGAAGAGAATTTTAGAATCTCAAGGATGTATTCATTTAGGTATTTGATAGATAACTGCCAAATTGCCCCCCAAATTGTTACACTAGTTTACATATAACAATTAGTGAGAGGACCTATTAAATTCTTCTTAATTGAGTATTAATCTTTTTTTATTTGTTGCCAAGCTATTGAGCTAAAATTGGTTTCTTATTTTAATTTGCACTATTTTTGATTATTTGGGAGGTTGAGCATCTTTTTATGTTTACTGGTAATTTGATTTTCTTGGTAAATTATTTTTTTTTTGTAGAAATTATTTTTTTTGTAGAAGTTCTTTAGTATGTAAAATGCTAAACATTTTCAAGTCTTCCTTTTATATTTTAACTTTTGAAAAATTGATAATTTTTATTTGGTGAAATGTGCTAGTCTTATCTATCATATAGCTTTTGCGTTGCTTATAATGCTTAGAAAGGCCTAAAAAGATTAGGAAAATATTCTACTATATGTTCTTATTTTATGGTTTTTTGAAAAACTTTTAATACTTTCTGGATATTTTGGGGAGGGGGTGATGTGAATAAGTAAGGATTTAGCTTTATTATTTTGTAAATAAATGGCTAGTTAAATGGCCTCTTTACATTACTAAATTCTCATATAGACCTGAGCTGTTATTCCATTTCATTGACTTAACTGTCCCAGTACCAGATTTATTTCCTTAGGATAGCTGTACATTTTTAATATTTGGTAAGGTAATTCTCTACCCACCTGTCCCAGTGTTTCTTCTCTTTCAAAAAATTATTGGATATTCTCAAAACATTAAATATTTGAGGATTTATTTCAGAATCACTATTCCATTTGGATTTTGACTGTACTGCAGTGAATTTAGGAGATTAATTTGAGCAAATCATCATGGACCCATTCAGCAATAATAGAAGTCCTGCGGTAAAGATTTAGCTTTCTATTTCTTAATGTCTTTATTTTGATGTTTTAATTATACAACTCGTGGTTTTACATTGTTAGTGACCATATCCAAAATTGTTCAAGCAAAATTGGAAAGTTTTATTTTATCCTTATCAAATCAATATTTACATACACATCTGACATAAAATGCTGATGGGTATTAAAGGAACACAATTATGACATGACTTTTCTTTGTAAAAAACTTGGTTGAATCAGCTGTTGGTTTACGCTTTTCCAGACTAAACTGTTGATGGGCGAAGTGATGAGAGAAGCTGCCTTTTCACTTGCTGAGGCCAAGTTCACAGCAGGAGACTTCAGGTAAGAAGACTTAATGGGGTGTTTTGAAAAAAATCAAAGTGCTTTCAAGTTCATAATTTTATTTAAAAGCCATTTTAAATTAAAAAGCACACGCTTTAAAGACAATTGATACACTAGTAATAATTAGAACACTTAGCCCCATCTCCTTAATACCACTGCCTTTATTACTGCCCACATGTATCTGCTACATAGTCACAGGCACAGGATACTTAACATTTTATAGTTCATTTTCATTTAA